ATTTTGAAAGAAATTTAGCTTTAAATGTACTAATGAAATTTAGGACTAGATTTAAAAATATATATATATGCAACTATGAAAAGCTTATCGATAAATAATAATAATGTTAAAAATGATATTAAGCAATTGAATGAATTCTACGTATTTTATTATAAATCAAATAAAACAGAAATTCTTGAAAACATATCTTCTATTAATTTATACATTGTTTAATATGTACAAATATTAGGATATCGTTGCTTGATAACTACATGTATATATTATAAAAACTGTATTCTAAATGATAATAATATAAAACTAGTTTTTTTAAAAAGTATTCATAAATTAGAAAACATTTAATAAATTATGGCATGAGGAAGATCAACTCTCTGGGTTCTATTGAAACTACACCATTCAAAAAATTATCAATATAAACCGTAAACCATAAATTTTAAATTCATAAAATCAATCAAATATCCACAAGTTAAGTAAACAAATTTGTAGTTATTTATCTGATTAAGAAAAAAAATAATTTTTAAGTTTCTCTGCTTGATTGTTGTAATAAAAAAAAATTATTAAAAATGGAAAATTTGAACGAAATTTCAAAGAAAAAATGAAAAAGTGTAAAATTTTAGTATTGAAATTTGTACAGAAAGGAACTAATAATTGGGGGCTAAAACTGTCTGCACTTATAATTTAATTTAAAATAAAATAAAGACAAAGTATTATGTATGTATATTTTAATGTAAATAATTTTTTACTTAATCTAAATAATATTTCTCGGTTTTAGTTTAATTTAGTTAAATTGTTATAAAAATTTTAAAAAGTCTATTGATTTACATAAAAAAATGCTGATAATTTTAAAGTACCAAGTGCAAATTAGCGACTAAAAAAGAAAAATTAATTTTAATATTTATATTTGTATATATCTATTTTTAATATAAATGCATCGATTTTTTTTATTTTTTTATTCCAATCTACGTTGTACATTTTATTTAAATTCATTTAAAATTTATATCAAATTAAAAAAAAAAATGCTGCAACATCCCCAAATAATATTGCTATATAAAAAAATTTTTCCTTTTTTTGACGATACTCATATCCATTACCTTAAATGAATTCTTACCTTAATTTAAATAAGGATAAAAAAAAAATTCAGACTTCCTCTTTCTTCATTCCTCATTAGTAACATCTGCTCAGTTCCTTTTTTAGTTCCAAATTAACAACCGCCAAACGGAGATAATTAACTCAAATCAGTACATTAGTCAGTGGGTGTTATTATTATGTTAAATAATCCCAAGAGTGTAGTTAATTGCTGCAATTGTTGTATTTCTTTAATTAATTAATTTTTACATTGAAAAATATAATAAAAATAATTGGAGGAATCTGAATAGTGGCCCATCCAGCGGTTAATGTTCCAGCGGAAGTTTACAACATATATTCTCTATTATATCACATTAAAACACATATCATTATATCACATCTATAGATCATATTAAAAATTTCCATATAGATGCTTGTTTCTTCTTTTTTATTTTCTTAGTAAATATCCTCTTCACTTTTCCTGTGTAATACGAATTTTGAAAAGGTTTGTTTGCATAATAAATAATAATTTTAAAATTTTCATAATTAAAAAAAAATAATTTCTTTCCTGAGTTTTTTTAATATATTTTATTTATATTTTTTCTTCTTCCATAAATTATCTAATAATCAATTTTGCACAAAAAAAAAATTGAAATTTTTAAACAGGTTAATTAGATATTAAATAGCAATTGACAGTTATTGTAAGACTATATAGAATTTTAAATTAAACAAGCATCTAATTAAAATAAAATTTAAACAAATTAATTATCGAATAATTTTATGGCTAAATTATATATCGGCACAGGCGATTATTATTATTATTTTGAAAGGGATGTGGCAAGATAAATTAGCTTGAAAATCACTGGGTTAAATGTAAAATCTTCAAATAAACATGGGCTATCATGTTTCAAATCAAAGCTAAGAAAACAACTTGTTTTCGAGGAAACTTACAAAATCGAGCACGCTTAGGCTCGTCTCGACAAATTTCCATTTCGGAAGAATTATTATTATTATTATATTTTCTTCTTACTACTACCATTGTTATAATAAAATAACAAGCAGAATCAATAACTAAACAACATAGCAAAAATTCACTAATAAAAATATTAAACACGATAAAGATAGTTACTTAATATAAAGCCATAGTAAACAATGTTTTTACGAAGTCGTTCGCCACCGCTAGAGAAAATGTAGCAGAGGCATCGTTAACAAGGAAACCTGCAATAAAATTATGCAGCCATTATTTAAAAAGACATATGCAGAGGTTATTTTTTATGGATATCTGATTCTTCGTCCACTTCTCGATAAGGAGTATTTAAAGATCCAGTAATAGCAGCTAGCTCGCAAATGAAGATAAGTTCGATTAAGTTGTTGGCTTACATTACATTTACTGCTTTTAAAGCAAAGAAAACTCCATGGCAATTATGACGTGACGCGTATCACATTGATAATCAAACTGCATGTTTAGAAATTTTTGTGTTTTCTCACATATGGCACTCAAATGCGGAGCCTACTAGAATAATAAATAATCACCTAAAATACATAGCTATAGCTATTGTTTGTGATGTCATCAGCTGTAGTTTTACCTCACCAAACAATCCGCTAAACTAGAAAATTTCGTTTAAAATTTTTCTTACATTTCGAGGTGAAAATACTGTAGAAGAGATATTCGAAAGGTAAGGATGCAGTTAGTCAATTCAAATATTTCCTCAATACTTTTCTAAATTTTTCACTGGACATATTACAAATGACGACATGATACATAAATATAATACTAGAAATGCAGTCGCAAAACTCATGTCTTCCATGGGTGATTGAACAATGAAGTGCCGGAAAAAATTCTTAGACGAAGTACAGGTTACAGTTCGAGTTGTAAAAGTTCAAAGAGTAACAAAAATGGTAAAAGTTTCAAAAATTTTAAATAAACATTTTCGACAGGTAGGATAGATTTAGTGCATTCACTAACTTTCTGAAAAATAAATATGTTTGCTTTGAAAAATATTAACGTTTTTATTAATTAAATATTTTCAACTTTTCATTGAACCTTTTTAATAAATATCCATTAAAAAACTAAACTTATTTGTTTAATAACTTAAAATCAAATCGTTCATCAAAATGTTTTTAAAAGCAAACGTATTTTTAATAATCTTTCTAGTTCTGTGCTTATTATTTTTTATGCAATTGAGCAAAATATCTAAAAATATAATATTTTCTGTATTTAAATTTATTTGAAGTAAAGATTTTAATATTTCAATTATTATTATTTTGGATTTTAGAATAAATTTAACCTTTTCAAATTTTTATATTCCGCAAAAAAAGTAACAATAATAAAAAAAAAAATAAATCTTTTCCTTCTAACTGAAATTTTTTTTAACGCCAGTAAGTAAAAAAAGTAGTTAAATTGAAATATTCTAACCAAAGAACTTATACCTCAAATTCATTATTGTTAAATAACTACAGTATACTTCATCACAGTATTTTATAATTAATTTTAATTTTAAATAATTATAATTATATTAAAACTAATTTGAAATTACTTTTGAAACTCTATGGTATATTTGATTGTTTTCTTGTATTAATACAATGCGCAAAAATATTCAAGACATATTAATATAATAAAATACTTTAAATCGTATGTTTATAAAAAATAATAGCTGTTAACGAAATTACGAAGAATTTATATTACAATTCTAGTTATATTTTTTTCTAAAATAATAATAAATTGTTTACTTCAGTGGGAATAATCCAATCAATCCTGCAGCAATTCATTGTAGCTTTTGATCTTCGTCAGAAGCAAATTTAAAAACTCTCACATTAGATTCAGCTTTAAATTTATTAACGTTTTTAAATACATTTTGGCGCAAAACACATATTCGGCACGGTACTTCGTAACAAAAATATAACGATTATAACCCAAAACAGAAACATAAATGAGAGAAGGAACAACGACCAAAGAAATGTCGGCAAGAAGGGGCGGGGGGAACCGACTTCCAAGTAAAACCCCTCCTCACCTTATGATAAGAAAGCAGGGATAAAGGTTAAAGGCTAATGCACTAAGTGAATACTTTATCGCGACTTGTTGGTCAAGATCAACTGAAAACAAATTCATACGAAAAAATTAACAACTTGATAATATAGAAATAAAAACCATCGATGCTAAACCCTCGAATGCCGAATTAAAAACTCTTATCATTCCATCTCAATGTATATTTATATTATTTGGCTAAACATCGCACATGCTAATTATCAAATTATAGATGTATCAAACAGCCGAAGCAACTGTAAAAGAAAAGTTTTTGATTCCGAGTTAAGTTTATGCTGTCTTAAATAAGTGATTTCCATTATGATTTTAAATGAATTCCTTCCATTGAGAGGGAAATGTATGTTAATTGACAAGTATTTAGTAACAACTCATCACTCAAATTTGGCAGCAGACAAACAGTACTGTGGGTATTTATATTACATGCAATTAGTGTTTAGTGTTTTATAATAATGAGAACAACCTGCCACTAAAATCTGATAGCAGATATTCGGTTTCATGTATAATGAGACTCAGGAAATTAGCGAATGTCTGTGTGACCTCCACAGGTCGGAACAACTATAGATTGAATATGAACTACGAGGGTAGTATGAAACGTTTCCAACCTAACAAAAAAAAGGGGGTTTTTTTTTTGTCAAATTAATTTTTATTTTTCTACATAATCTCCTTGTAACTCCATACACTTTTCTCCGGTGTTCCCGTTTCAACCCATCCAAATAATACCCGACGTCTTTCTCTGCAAAATAGTTGTCTACGAAGGCGATAGCTTCCTCATTTGACAAAAATATCTGTCCTCCAATCGCAACTTTTAGCTTGAACGCCGCAGACATGACACTTACCAATCCGAATTAACGAAATTATAGTGTTGATTTGCACATCAACGAAAATTTTGAATACCAACGGCACGTGGTGTTCCCAGGTGATCACCTCTTAAGTACTGAACGCGCCCGATGATGCTTGATTTCAATGATCAAACGAGAACCGGTATCTTCAGCATGGTATGGCCGTTGGCGAACTTTTAGCTTAGGGAACAAAAAGAAGTCGCTTGGGGCTAGATCTGCAGAAGTCGCTTGGGGCTAGATCTGCAGAAGTCGCTTGGGGCTAGAGAGTGGTCAAGCAGTTCAAATCGTAGTTCATGAGTTTTCGTTATGGTGACGGCTGAGGTACACAAAAGCTTGGTGAAACAAAAAAAATTTTTCTGTAAATGTGATCTGAATGTGTGATTTCACAATTTCTAAAATGCGTTGTCTATTAAGAAAGCATAATATATTCCTGTAATACTTTTCCTCTTTTCAAGATAATCTGTTAAAATTACTCCATGACTGAACCAGAAAATTGGCCATCACTTTTCCAGCTGAAGGAATAGCCTTTGCTTTTTTTGGAGCCGATTCCCCCTTTGCAGTTCACTGTTTTGACTGAAGATTTGTTTCTGGGATGTAGTGATGTATCCAAGCTTCATCTACAGTAATTAGCCGGCGCCAAAATTCTGATTTATTGCTAATAAATTGTGCCAACAGGGAGATGGAAATGTTCATTCGAACATGTTTTTGGTTCAAAGTGAGCAAGCACCCAACGCGCAGACACCTTTCTCTTGCCTAAATTGTGATTCAATATGTGACAAACACGTGCTTTGGAGATCTTCTATCTCTCTAACTTTTAATCAACGTTTGTTTAGCACCATTTCATGAACTTGAGCGATGTTATCGTCACAAGTGGCAGTTTTTGTGGGCCGAACATTCATCGTCACCCAAGCTGGTACGAAATTCAGTCGCCCAAAAAGCCAATGATGGTGCAGATTCCTCATACACAGCTTCCAACTCGTCTTCGATTTGTGCAGGCGACATATTCTTCAAAAATAAATATTTAATGACAACGCGATACACATTTTTTTTCCATTTTCACAAAAAACACCGACAATAACTAACTCAAACGATTATCGAACAACAACTAAGCTTGCAAAATGGCTGAAATTTAGTCGAGTAACGTTCTGCCATCTGTAAATGCTGCCATCTACAAGTTAATGTCGGAAATTTTTCAGACTGCCCTCATATACTATCAGTCGTTCCATCATGATTAGTGATAGACTAAATGTTTACTTCAATGAGAAGTGAGGGAAACTGAACTCCCCTCTTGACGGATTGTCTTAAAAGTAGAGGTTTTTTTTGGTAAAGAAGAGAGTGAGAGCTCTGCTATGAATAGATGTTTTTTTTCTCTGAAGTGACTGAATAGGCCGGAGTTTTTCGCCTGCTTTCAAAGTGAACCCCTTGTGGTTTCATGTATCATGCCAGGCGAAAATTAAGGTCTGCCGCATACCAGGCAATTAGATTCGACGTAGACTAGAGAACTCTGAAACTCACCAATCTTAGAGGGAACTGTACTTGTGATTTAATCGTGCACTTGTGATCAAATTTTATTCTAATATTTATTTATTTATTTATATAATAACACAGAGTACATTATTTGTAAGGATATATATATATATATATAGTGCTTGTGAAAAAAAATTAAAGTGTTCCCATGAATCTGAATGTAGTCCTCTTCTTGAAGCCTATATAGGTCGAGATTTTTCCATCAGGGCGAGAAGCTGGACATAGGTTGTTACAATCGACATTGACCACTTCGTTTCTGAAGGTAATGATAGACAAGTAGCCGCCAAAGGTTTCATACCTGAGCATTCCTGAAAGCTAGTTATGCACATCATCACCATTATTTTATTTAAATTTATTAAAAACAAAATTAAAGAGTACGAGCTTTGACAAGTTCAGTTCTTGTTAAAAAATAAATCACATAACATTACAAAATGCAAAAAAACAAGATTAAATAAAATAAAATTGCGTTTTAAATTGCACATGCATGAATATATGTATGGAGTACAAAAAAATCAAACAGTATTAAAATTTTTATAAAGAAAAATTTTAAATTTATAAAATTTACTTTATTTTCATTGTAGTAATAAACCCAAAAATAAGATCAATTTTAAAAGAAACTGAAATGCTCTTGCTCTTTCACTTTAAATCACTATAAGGCTAAATTTTTAAAAAAAGAGCATTTTTCAGTATTACATGTACTTAAATAGTTTAAATAACTTACTAAATTAAATTTTTATTTTTCTTATTACTTAATATAGGTACAGTTAATTGAACAGTTATAAAATTGTTCTCAAAAAAAATCACTAAAAAATAAATACATAAAATGAAAAAAAAATAATAATAACATGTAATTTAGATAAATTACAATAATAATACTAAGAAGAAAAAGAAATCTTATTACAAAAGATCATGCACCTTTATTTCGAAGTCATTAAAATTATTTGTCCTTCTCAAATTCAAATCTATTTACGCAGTAAACTATTGAACTTGGTGTACAATCCATATAATAGTAAGTGAGAGTGAGGGAAGGGAGGAGAAAAATTCAAAGAGGTTACAGAAATAGGAATGGTATTCCCGAAATACTAGTAAGAAGTACTAGAAGAATACCAGTAAGTATTTCAGAAGTAATACTAGTAAGGTAGAATAACATTCTTCCAACTAACTATTTAAGGGGAAATAATACTTAAAGAGATCTGTAAAAAGTGATGGCTCCATATAATTTTTACTCCCGTAACTTTTTCGGGCCAAGCTCATCACGAGCTGAAGTTAATAAATATTATTCAGGAATTTTTTTTGTCGGCTACATCGAGTGCCTGTACAAATCAAGCCAAGAATCGTGCCACTCCTAAATTGATCTCCCGTCATCGAATAATTGATATCGATCGTCACCGGCGAAGCTTTCCGATTGGTTTCTACGGAACTCCTCGTTCACCATATACAGAATGATCGGATTTGAATGCTTTTTAACGTAATTACTATAAATTCACATTTTTTAAAATCTTTTTAAGGCGATTTTCTGATGACAAGAGATTAGATCTAAATATTCGAAATTTCGCTAAGGTATTGTGAGGCTTGTCTTCGGAATGAACAGATGATTTTTGCAACAGTAACATGAAGATGCATTCGTAAGACGAGTGAACACGTGTTTGCTACGTCAGCTTGAAGCGGCAAATCACTGCTTTTCTCGATTCCCATAGGCTGGCATCTTTGGCCGATCTTCCGAATATGGAAAGGGAGCTGTCTAAGTCAATTATTCATGAATTGAGTTTTGTACACTACATTGAATAATTGATTTGAGTGCCAGTACAAAATACACTTCGACTCAATTTGGATGAAATTAGTGTGATAGAATGGCCAGGAAAGAGCAAGAATAATAACATTCAATAGGCAATATAAAAAAAAAAAAAAAAATTAAAAAAGTAAATAAAAAAATAACAAATAGTAACAAAGACATAATAAACATAATATACATATGTATGGTAGCATAATAATGTAAATATGTATGGTTTTCATGTACATACGTATGTATGATGGCGGAAAGGAAGGAATCAGGAAGAAAAGATGAGAGGCATTGAAACTTAAATCCATCAAAAAAAGGTGGCTATCCTAAGGTGTAACTTAATTTTGCGATCTGTAGATGCTCCGAAAGGAGAAATATTGGTCTTCGTTTGAAAGGACGAAGTTTATTAGAGTCATTATCGTATACAATGTTTCTTTTGTGCATTTGTTTGCTGAAGAGATAGTTAAAAATTGCCTTTCTAAAAGAAGTTGAAATACTAAGGCGGCCTTAGAGGTTGGTTCCATTTAGTTATGGTACATGGAAATTTTTTTATCTATTTTATGCGCAAAGAAAACCTGATATTTGATGATTGAATTGTTATGAGGAGTCACACCAATGAATAATTTCGTACTTACTTTTTTAATATGTTCTTTTATTGGATCAATTCATAAATCATGATGGTGGGAACCTCCATGAATTTTGTTTTGTAGAATTTATTTCTAAAAGTCTTGGCGGCTAGACCCAATATAGATGCTGCACAGGTCAGGATGGGACAAAGTGCTTGTTTGAATAGAAAGTTTTATTTTGGAATGATAAGTTAGAATGTATACCAATGAGGGAGTAACTTAGAATTGTAGTTTGCTCCAGCATTCGTCTTTAATATAATTTATATAATTTCTAAAGGGGTTTTTTTTTACATTATGAGGCCGAGATACCTGACTTCGTCAGTCTATTCTATTTATTCTTCAAAAGTAATCTCATGCCTTCTAATAAGGGTCAATCTCTGTGTGTGATATGGTACAAAACTAGAAGTGATACTGCCGGCAAACTTTGATCATCGATACGAGACACCGTACACGCATTGTTACAATCGCCATTGAGTCGTCTTGTTTCTAAAAGCAGTGACTGCAATTTTAGTAAATACTTATATAATTTCATTTTTTTGCTATAAAAAGAAGGGCTGAGATAGTACAAATCAGTTAGTGAAGTAGTGCTTTAGTTCAACTCTTTCAAATATTTGAAACAATTTGTGTTTTTGTGTTTTGCAGGTGACGGCTTGCATAACGAGATAGTGATATTTTCAAATAATACAGTTCCCCAGACATCGAATTCCTTCAAAACAGGCAAGATTAACTTGAATTTGCTCAGAGTCGCTGGAGAAGATCATTTCGACTTGCACAGTCATTTGCTGCCGCATCATTTGGTTTGTCATGGACCAATTTCCAGAGCCCTCTCATGACAGTTAGTGACATATCTGCAGCAGCAACAGCCATTCAAATAGACACTCACTCGCCATCTGAAGAAGCACACTGGACAGAGGCCCTTCAAGTGCAAAGTATGCTCGAGGGCCTTCTGCCGCTCGGACCATCTGATTACTCACAACAGGACACACACCGGAGAAAAGTCGTACTCGTGCGACATGTGCGGTCGAAGATTTTCGCAAGAAGAGATGAGAAGAACAAGCACGTCAAAGTGCACCTGAAGCAGAAAACGAAAAAGTACGAGAAATCCGGCAATGACAATAACATGGAACATTCAGGTTTTGGGTCCAACTTACTAGATTCATTTTTTTTATTGATGTTGTGGCCTACAATTTTCCGGTGTGGATGTTGTGAAAGTGCTACAAATTCATAAGGATAA